AAATTCTTTACAATGAGGGTGGTGAAACACTGGAACGGGTTGCCCAGAGAGGTAGTGGAGGCCCCATCCCTGGAAACATTCAAGACCAGGTTGGACAGGGCTCTGAGCACCCTGATCTAGTTAGCGGTGTCCCTGCTCGCTGTGGGGGGGTTGGACTAGATGACCTCTAGGGGTCCCTTCTGACCCAAAACTTTCTATGATTCTATGATTCTGTAATTATTCATGCTAAGTTTGTGGTAAAGCTAACCAAGTGTTTTAAGGATCATCGTATGCTCTTGGGTGAGAAAGAGTTATTCTTCTACCTGCTGCCTTGCAAAAATGTCCATTAAATTCAGAGTGTCTTCAACTGCTAATAATAGGCCATGGTAGGAATAGACAACATAGTTTTCTTATTTACTGTGGCAAACCCTGGATTTCTACTTTTCATTACCACACCAAGACTCACCAGTTTATTGCTTTAGGAATAACTTTGGCTCTGGGGGGCTAACTTTGTTTTCTTTTGCTGGCGTTGTAATTAGGCTCTCTGCTTCCAGTGCTGTGGTCCCCCTCCTCCACACTCTGCAACAACAATATGCTTTTAGAAAGTGGAAAATATTTAACATTTTTTTCCCTTAGATTGCTATCAGGAATTAAACCGACAGTATTAGCAACCCAGAACAAACAGTGCCCTCGCTTACCGCTGGGCCTTGCCAAAGACTCAGTTGCTTCCCAAGCTGCAGCTCCCGCGTTCCAGATGTTCGCTCTGGCCAGCCCCAGGTCCTTGTCCGTCAGACAGATGTTAAATTTCAAAGCACAGTGCTTGCACCCGTAGCACACCAGCCCTCTCAGCTAGCCCAGGCGTCCCTTTGCCATTTCGAACCGCGGTCACCCCGCCGTGCTCTGCTGTCTGGCAGCAAAGCTCCGCAGAAATGTCTGTTCCGTCTGAACATGAGGAAGAACTTCTTCCCTCTGAGGGTGACGGAGCCCTGGCCCAGGCTGCCCAGGGAGGTTGTGGAGTCTCCTTCTCTGGAGATATTCCAGACCTGCCTGGACGAGGTCCTGTGCTCGGCTCATGGCGCGGGGGTGACGATGTGCGGCGCGGGGCGGGGGGAGCAGGGCTGCTGACAGGGCTGCAGATGGGACCTCGCTGCAGCACTGCGACAGCGCACTCAGTCTCGTTTAAAAGGAGCAATTCCTCATTTCAAAGCTAGGTGCAGTTGTTAAATATCTCAGCGCTGGGGATCTAAGTCACTAAATAAAGAGGTGTGAAGTCTGTGATGAGTTCAAGGGCAAGTGCAGGGTCCTGCGCCTGGGGAGGAACAACCCCATGCACCAGTACAGGCTGGGG